TAGGGAAAACATGAATTCCAGCACTTCTTCCTCTTCAGAGCATAGTAGTTTCTCTAACTTTTCTGTGGAAAGTTTAATAGAAACTGATGCTCACCCTGGTGGCACATTCTAGCTTCAGAAAAAAAAAGCCTTTTTCACCAGCATGCATTCCAATTAAACTTGTCAAGAAGCTACAGAAAAACAGAAGTAATAAAGAATTTCATATATAGTCTCTTAACTTTCTTGTTTAAAATCATCAGGAAACTGTTCCTCAATTCACACACCAGTCTATCAAATTTATTCCAGCGCCATAGAAGGCTCTTTATTTTAAGTCTTGTTGTACTTTCTGCTAGGTAGCTGTGAAAGGTCACACTGGATCACACACTGTGTCAGATAAAAGGAGACCTGTATAGCCTCAAGTGGAACAATAGAAATAAGATGAAATGCAATAGCATGAAGTGCAAAGTCATATTATTTGGGACAGGTAGTTCTGGGACAGAGATTAGAAACAGATGTTTCTACTGCACTTTGGGAGCTTGTTAGTTGATGATCATCAAAGAAGAAAAAGATGGATGTATTTAAATAATCACAGAATAACTGAACCACGAATGTGATGTGACAGTGAAAGAGGTAATAAATGTGATCCTCAGATGTATGAGGTGAGGTACAGCTGGCAGAGCTGAAAGCAAATATTAATGTCATTGTATAAGGCCAAGGCGAAACCTCCTCTGGATCGCTCTGTACTGTTCCAGTTGCTCAGGCTCAAGAAAGAGAAATTCAGACTGGAACAGGTGCAGAGGGGGGCTACAGGAATATTTGAGGGAGTGGAGAGCCTGTCTTATGAAAGGGTGACAAAAAGCTTCATTACTTTAATCTATCGAATGTAACGCTGTGAGCGGATATGATGGCTCTCTAAAAATAGATCAGAGTAAACATCAGGGAGGGGTAGGATCAGGAAGAGCACTGAGGTAGATGCAAAATTAGTACAAACCGGCTGTAAATAAAAATTCTAATCATCAGCAGTGTGAAATTTTGGAAGGTCTTTCTAGTAGAGAAGCAGAGGCAAAGGACCTAATTCATTAAAAGGGAATTTGACCACTTCTGAGAGGTGTTATCTGGTGTGGTTGCCTCCAGCAACAGAGAATTGGGCTCTGGGGAGGTCCTGTCCTGTGTTATCCTAAGTCTCACACACTTTGCGCAGAGCAACACATCCCTGATTAGAAGATGAGCTCCTTTCTCATCCCTGTGACCAAGACCTTACAACTCATCCACCTGGTTGGTCTGGCTTTTTCTGCTTTTCCATAATTTCATTTGTCTCTACAGTTAAACAAAAGCCCCCAGTCATGATCCCTTGTCCTTTAAGCTTCACAAGTCCTCCTCCAGTATCCTCATCATATATGATTTCTTCAGCCAGCGTACTTAGCCTGCAGAAGTGTGACACTAGCATAGCTATCTGGCTTTTAGCCCCAGAGCAGACTTGGCTGAGTGTTGACTTAGGAATCTTTGTCCCATGATGTGGTGTGCAACGTAAGGCATGCCCTCCTGCTGAGATGCTCTGCTGGATGGGGACAAAAATGACAGAAAGGAGGTCAGGAATGTTTGGAAGCAGATATGACAGAGTGAAGATGGACAAAATACTTCTGCAGTTTTATCTTTTTCTTGAAACTTCACTGTCTGTAAGATTTGGTGCCCTTTTGGCAATTTCCTTCTGAATCATGGAAAACATGTTCTATATGTTAGGAGCTTGTAATGAAAAGAGAGTAGGCACATAGGCTCTTAAGTTCCCCTTCCTCTCTGCAGAGAAAAACAACAACAGCAAAAAACGTCTAAGCAGCAAGCATCACCCTCCCTGCATTCCTTCCCAGCGCTGCCCTGCCCCTGCCCTCCTGGCAGCAAAAGCCTTTCCAGGGCTGTGTGGTGAACTGGAGGAGGAGGCTGATCAAGATTAAAGCTTTAAAAAGAAAAACATTTCTATCAATCATCTCACAAAATTTGCAGACTTTGTTACACAGCTGCATGAATGTTTCTGCCAGCACGTGGGGGATGCTTGGGGAGAGGAAGGAGAAGCTGGGAGTAAGCAGAAGGAGCCAGAGGAAGGAGGAAAGAGAAAAGGCTTCTTTTTCTGGCAATATTGTCTCATTTCAAGTACACCTAAAACTGTGGGCTCACTGCACTCTGGTGCTGGTGGCAGTGTTTTTAAAAACAGATCTACATGATTTGTTTGGCTTAATTTATCTTTTACTTTTCCCCACAAGCTAACAAAACATTTGAAGATTAAAATATGTAGCTACACAGACATATATTGCAATTCTCTTGTGCAACATTGTGTTAATACATTGTTTTCTTAAGCAAATGATAACTTCCTTACAGATACTTTCTTTGTAGCAGTTCCTAAAATGACAAGGATAGTGTTAATGAAAACTAAATTGGTTAGATATTTATTTTTGGCATGTATATTAACATTTCATTTTAAAATCTATGTACTCAATATTTTTTTGGCAGATACATAAAATACATAAAGACTGAAGATGGCATTCTAATTAAAACAAACCTATTGTGTAAAATATCTCAGATGAATCACATACTTACTCAGAGCATAAGGCAAAAAAAAGTTGTAGCTGAAAGAACTGAACTCAAGAAGCAGTGTGTTATCAGCCAGAACACACGCGCACGCACACATGCACAAATACATACAGAGTCCTTGTTAATTTAATGGAGAATTGTGATGCTTGGAATATCATCGTTCTACTAGCTCTCCATAGAAACATGAAATTTAATTTTTAACTAATTTCAAATGAAGTACCATTTATAAAGATTGGCTGACAGGTCATGTTCTCTTTAAATAAAATGCATATACTGTAAATTTGTAATTCAAAGTGGTCTTAGTAGAAGTCTTCTTCAACTAAAAGACTAAAGCTCAAGTATCTCCGGATGTTGGGATATCAAGATTATGGATATTAAGACCAAGAATACTAAGATTAAGGACTGAAGTACATACAAGATTTGAAAACAGACCCTCAGCTCAAGTAAATCATCTTTACAGTCCACAGAGCAATTGCAAACCTAAATGATCTTGCTACAAGCTACTGACTCTCTGGACTTCTGGGAAATGGAAGCAGTATTCCATGACAGTTAATAAAGTTCCCAAAAAACTGACTGTCCCTGAAAATAAAAAGCAATTAATTACCTGCATTCAAATCTTGCTAAGATACTCAGAAGGTGTAGTAATACAGCATACTGTTTGTCATCTTTGTTTAAGTAATAGGCATCTCATTGACAAAACAATTCACCTGTGCCATTTTAGAAAACAAGTGGTGCAGCTGGAGCTTTTAACGGGCTGTTCACACATTACCAATATTTCAGAGCATTTTCAAGAATATTGAGAACAGTTTCAGACTAAACATAAAAGTGATATGAGCTTTAAAAAGAAACGTACCCAACTTTGGGGGCAGCTAAGACTGACACTCCTGACCCTAGACATGCAAACTACATTGATTATAGCTCAAGTGTACACGTCTACTATTGGCACATCACTGTTCATGCCACTAATCCAAGATTAAATGGGATCATTCTTTCACTAACTTGAGAGATCTTTGGGTTAGACACAAAGCACAGCTGTCCTCTAAACCCCAGCCTGCCATGAAATGTGTTTAGAGATTAGAAGTATTCTAGACCAGATATTCCTTCAAGTGAGAAGGTATTTCATATTAATAGACTAAAGAGTTTATTAACACAAACACTATGACTGCTTCTTTTCTGAGGCACATAAAACTGTGCTACTCATCCCTGTTAAATGATGCTTTAGAAAACATGACAACCAGTGCGATGGGGAGGCAACAAGAGAGGGAGAAGATGATGTGAGCTAACTGACCCTTTCTGAAGTACCAAAAATATGTACTGATTTCCTGTAATGTCACTGAGTTTTATGGCCACATAGCACCCTTTAAGGACAAAAATGTACTTGGTAGATAGGAAAAAAAAGTGTGAAGATCTTTGCCTGACTTCCACAGTGACCTAAGCAAATAGTTAGCATTTAGAGCTTTGACCTTTCCATCGAGACCTGCAGAAGTTTCCATATGCCATCCAGGCATCTAAATACTTGATTGTATTGGATCCGGGAACACGGTGATGGACACAGCAACTGGCCATTTGTACAGTAGTACCTGGCCAGAGCCCTTAGCAGAGGTCTGAACACGGCTGGCTGCAGGAAGGGATAGGCACCTACTTAGGGAGCTGCCCCCCAGCCAGTTTTCCAGCCAGCCTGGTTAACTTTGATGTTGAGTTGCTATTTCCTACTGAAACAATTACAGCTTTTTTCTAAGAGGATACTTAAATAAGTAAGTGTGAAAAGACTACTTTGCTGCAGATCTCCTTTATATCTGTGTGTATTCAGAGCTTCTTTACATGTGTCTTAGAGTCAATCTGCACCTTGGTGACAACTTTGATGTGTCCTAGGCATATCAGACTCACCCTGCAATTGTAGATCAGCTTGCACATTAGGCTCTGGCATCATCAGAGCTCCAATACCTAGCAGTAACAGTTCGATGTAAACACTGGACAAGTAGGCCTGGTGACAAGTTGTAGCCACCTAACCCAGAGAGAAGTCAGGGCTACAAAAATGAGAATCTGCAGAACTGAAACATGTACTTTACACTCAGCCGGCTGATGTGGCAATGAATTTAACTACAAGTATTTTGTTGGGAAGTTGTAATTTGTTAAGGGAGTAGCAAAAAGTTCCTCTGCTTGCTCTAGAAAATAGGCTCGAAACAGTCCTGGGTCAGGATCCTTGTGGACTGCGCTGTGAAACAGCATCATGTTCATTAAAGAGCTTCTCTACTGCTGGTACAACATGCAACAAAAGATGGATGGAAGAGGAAAGAGAATCTTCTGAGGCAAAAGTATATATCAGCTTCATATTAATCTTTTTAATGTCTCAGTGAGGTAAAAACCCCTAGAAAGCAAATGCTTAGTGACTGTTTTGTGGTGTTTCCATGCTTTATAGTTTGCTTCTTTTACAAATTATCACCATATTCTGGAAAAAAAATACAATTCTTTAAGAAGATATTAGTAGGAAACCCTGTCATATGTGCCATCATCCCCATCTCTTCCACATCTGACTCATTATTCCAGATTCATGCTGCTGGAAATCGATGTCACGAGCCATCCACTGTACTTCATGCTAAGGTTGAATTGACAGCCTAATGAATGGAAAGCAGAAGCAGTGCAGCAAGGTTATTTGTATGACAAAGCACAGCCAGACTGTCATGCAGTGAAGATGCTGAGAAACACCTCTGCGATAAATGCTAAAACACTTGTATATGTCTCTCTCAAATTCAGAAACAGATTTTAAAAGGGAGGTGATGTAAACTACACACAATTATTATGTAAATATCCACTTTTTACATGGATTTTTATAACACTCTCACTTATTTCCACTTGCTGGGCTGAAACAATCACCACCACCACTAATGCAGCAGTTAATCAGCATAAACCATACTTGCTTGCTACCAATAGCACTAACACTCATCTGCCCAGCAGAATGTACCAAACATATTATTTTCAACATTTACAAAGTTGTCACGAAGTAGAAACTTTAATAGCCTCTGCTGACAGCTGGGAAAGAATGAATTCTGAAAAAAATTGCTACTTTGCCTCATAGACATGCTATCTATACAGAACCTTGCGTGAAGGAGCAGATAATATATGAAGTGGGAAGATGGAAAAATGCAATTTTCTTTATCTCACTGATTTTCCATGTATCTTTTATAATGATTATAATATGTGATACCTGCAGTCCTTTAAGCCTTTCATGGCTTTAGGGATGTTAATTAAATGAATTCTCACAAGACCCTTGTGAGGTAGGCAAGTAATTTCTATTTCCCTTGGTGGGAGATGGTACAGCTAAAGCAGAAAGTTTAAATCACTTGCTCCTTATCACACAGGGACTCAGTGTCAAAGACATTTATAGCAACTGTGGCCCTCCCCTGGGTATCTCTTCATCTGTAGTTCTCAAAGCACTTAGCAAAGCCTCCTTTTTCTCTCTGCTTTTACAGAAGTGGAAAAACAGAGCCATTTACAACAGTGTTTCACTCGAAGTTGCTACACAGTTGGCAGCAGAGTTGGACCAGAAGGCAGATCTCATGCTCCCGGGCAATTCCTCAGCCAGGTCACCACACCGCAGCAGAGCTCTCTGCTATCACTCTGGCTCATCGCTCTCTTGATTCATTTCTTTTGTTGAATCACCCACGTTAAAGATGGCAACATCTGATTATCACCTAACATGATCTCAGGATAAGAGAGCTATAATGCTCTCAGTTATAAAACTTCTAATTAGAAGAAGACTCTTAAAGATAAAACACAATGTTTTCTGTAGAAAGAAGAAAAAGAAAAAAGAAAAAAAAAAACCAAAGAAACATCTTTTTCTTTTGCCAGAAATATATTAGAACATCATTGTCAAAATACAGTGGATGGAGAACAACCGGTAGACTTGCCAAAGGGACTTTGTGACGTCTTGGGTGAGACTTCATCTCCTCAAGGCAGAGGGAGCAAACCCCATAGTGCCAGTCTGCCTGTACATGCAGAGGATGGAAGGGGTCCACATCCCAGTCCCTCTGCTGGTGGCCAGGACAAACCCTGTTTGCTCAAGGTTTGATGCAGGCAGGGGGAAGTGAAAGTTTCTTGGAATTAACACAACCTATAAATTGCATTAGGAAATTCTGCATCATTTAAGCGCTGAACATGATAAAATACTGCTTTGTGTTAACAACAACAAAAAAAATCATCAGCTGGAGGCATGGTAACAAGCCTGCAGTGAAAGACAGGAAGAGAGAAGTATTTTCTAGTATTTACTGAACCAGCCATTTTTTTTCCCTTAAGAACACTTTGCTGCACCAGCATCTAATGTAATGCTTGTCACTGCCCCTTATTTGACATGCTGAGTCACTGCCTAACTTCATCTTTTATTAAAATCAAATAAATGGCCCCCATAGAAGGACAGCAGTGCATACCTTTGTGCCTGGAGGAGGAGCAAGACCCAGGAATGAATAAATAATATTTTCTTCTTTAGCAGAGAAAAAGGATTCAAAATCCTAAAAAAGGAACAAATGAACAACAGAGTATTGGTAACAAAAATCAAACAAAAAGCATAGGAGGAAGAGACTAGCCCAGGCAAATCTTTCTTACACTGATGAGAATGACTATGCATTTGTACAAGCGCCTGCATTGCCTAAGATCGAGGAAGAAAACTCAGATAAAGACAGTTTCACACTGGCTGGCAAAATGAACGAATGGGCAATTCTCTCCAGAGACTTACACTTTAATTATATCACATCTATTTTCAGAATCAGATAAAATTAAACGTCTCATTTTAATGTGCCTCAGCTGTACACACCAAAGCAAAGCTATTCCCATTCAAACATTAAAATAAAACTTGCTGTGAGTAAGAACACAAAATAGCCCCTCAAAACCCTGGACAGCTTTATGGCAAATAAAATGCAACAGTCAATGTAACAGCACAAGTGAAATGATACTGAGGAAACTGTTTATTTTAAAGAAAGGCAGTCTGGTTAGAAAATGCAGTTACTTTTCAGACAAACTGAGCAAAGGACTGTGTTGTTCCGTCTGACATATATGTACCAGCCAAAATGTCTTGTCCACATGTGAACTGAAGTTATAAATCAATATGTTAAATGCCCATTTTCTCTTCAGTGCTAACATAACCGAAAAGACGTGAGGGATGGCTCCTATTCTACCATCTAGAACTTGCACGGTCTTTACTGTATTCACCTGTACAACTTTCCTATCAATTAAGGAAGCTTTGCTATCACTAGGTTGTTACTGTGAACTTAATGACACATCTTACACAGGTAAAAATCAACATGCATTTAAGATCTCAGCAGAAACTCTGGTCATAAGTGACTGGCCCACAATCACACAGCAGCTCCATGGAGGACAGGAGACTGAACGCATGTCTGCTGAGTCCCAGACTACTGCCTTGACCACGTTATCATCCTCCCTCTCATGCCAAATAACTCCACAAATAGAAGCCTGTAAATAATAAGGTGCTGACTCATCCTTGAGACTTTTTTGTAAAGCTGGGTTAGGGCCTGAGTTGTTTTATTGGGCTGTTTTAGTATTTCCAGAGAATAAATTATTGGCCAAGGGTAATCCTAGGGAAAGGCTGGAGTGGATGGTTTAGAAGCCACCTTAACATCAACAAGACTGGAATCAATGACATTTCAGTCCAGTTTGGAAGAGGCAACATAGCTTAACAGACAGGATAAATGACAGCCTGTTTCACTGATTTATCTAAGGGCCAGATTGGCTTTCACACAGACCTAGCTACAGGCAGTGGGAACGGTCCGGTCTGGGAGAAGCCCCAGAGCACATTTTGTCCTGACCAGGCAGAATACCTGCTGCTGCTCCAGGCCACCCATTTCTCAAACCATCTCTTTGCTGTTTTCACATTGCTGTGGGGTTCTCCTCCTTATCTAAACCAGGTCTGCCCTAAGTATTTAAGAAAGCCAGTGTCTGAAGTCTAACCCATAAACTTAGGAGCAATACAGCAAACAAGAACACAAGGATTTTCTGCAATTCGAAGGTCTGGAATTTGACATGGGCCTTTGACAGGCCATACAAACACGGGAAACTTGTGTCCTCCTGCATACCACATACTCACAAAACAGCCTAAGCAAACTATGGCACAAGATGTCAATAGCTGGGAAACAAAGAGAAGACTATAACAAGGAAGGGCCATGAAGTGGACTTGATATTTTATACGTGTCATTAGCTCCTCCCCAGAGGAAAAGCAGCAGATGGCAAGTATACTAAAAATCTCTCAAAACACATAGCCTTGTAGAACCAGACCTGAGGGCACAAGCAAGACGTGTGAATGACCAGATAAACTCCTTATCAGAAGAGGATACAACCTTCTATCACATCAGGTACTCCTTGGCAACTGGTAGTGTACAATGTCATCCCACAGTAAATGTGGTACCTCGCAGTAAATGGAAGGTGACTTACTTGCTTACACTGAGGGGTAAGCTATTAGGTATTTAGCATGGGGTAAAAGCATGACTACAGTGATCACGGAATAGTTTTTGTATTGTATATTTGCACTCTTTTACTTTCCTAATGGTGACTTTTTCACATCTCCATTCACTGAATGACCAAAGATAACTGTTCCCAAGGCAGGCAGGCAGAAAAATGAGCAGTAACAATTTATTTCAGGTAAGCAGTAATATTATATCTGTATGAGAAGACATAAATGGTCTAGGCAGAGGGTAGTGTTGTCATTTGTCTTTGGAATAAGTCTTTGAAAAATACAGTGAAACGTATTTAAAAAAAAAAACAAAACTCCATGAGTTTTTCTTTATGACGTGAGTGCATACACACATATACACGCTATGCTATCATCCTTTGTATGTCCACTGTGGAAATGCCAGACAGCAAAACAGCAAACTCCAGCTGGACATCAGCAGAAAGTTCTTCCCCGCATGAGTGGTATGGCACCAGGTCAGAGTGCGCAGAGAGGGCATGGAAAAGCCATCCTTGGAGACTTTTGAAACTCAGATGGCCAAAGCCCCAAGCAATATAAAGCTAACTTTAAAGCTGTCCCTGCTTTGAGCAGCAGGCTGGACTACAGACCTCCAGAGGTCCCTATGATTTCCGTATATTTGACTCCAGCAGTTATATGAAGCATCAAATAAAAGTCTTACCCAATAATTCAGAGATTCTTTAAAAAAAAATACGTACATGGTTATTTTATTCTATGGATTTCAGTTTACAGAGAAAAGCATAGATTTCAGCTTACTGAGAAAACCAGAAGTTTACATTCCATTTCTTTCCTAGTTTTCTAGGGGTTTTTGTTAAGCAAAAGCAAAGACCAGAGCAAGAGTGCTCAATATATTTAGAAAGCGACACAGATGCAGACGTCTGTCTAGACATGAGCAAAAAAGCAGCTTAAGAAAAAGATCAAATAAGAACATAATTGCCAACACTGATGGATTAGAATGGATACTTGAAATTGGTGCTATAGTCAGGCATACAAAATGAATCCATTTCTAATCTGTTTCTTCAAGAGGCAATACCAAAGATCTGAAAGAAAAATAAGATTCAAGCTATTTATAAGACAGCCCTAAGCCTCTCTGACCTCGCGGAAAAGCTGCTCACAGTTGGTGTATTTTCATAAATGCATCTGTAAGAAACCTCCATTTTACAGTACAAATTAGGAAGTGAAGCAGTTCGTCAGCGTCAGCCGGAAGATGCAGAGACTTTTATGTATCAGTAGAAAAGCAGATTAGCAACAGGACTGCATTTACTTGCTCATTATGTCAGTCTTTTCCAGCATGAAAAGGAACCCTCCTCACCTGTCCCCAGTATCCCCTCTTTCCTTACCCCCACCCTCAGAACGTCACTGAGCTGCAAACAAGGGGATTGGAGAAGATCTCAAAGGACCATTTCTCCAAGGCAGGAACCACTACACTATTCCTGATAGGTGCTTCTCCAATCCATTGCTAATGACCTTTAATGAGACAATGAGACAATCCCCTGAACACTACATATTTTTTTCTGATGTCTGACTTAAACTTCCTTTGCTGCATTTTTTGCTCATTACATCTTGTCCCACCTCCAGTGGGTGTGGAGCAGGACATGTTTTAGAAAATCCTAGAACCACAGGATAATTCAGGTGGGAAGAGACCTCAGGAGACCATCTAGTCCAACCTCCTGCTCAAAGCAGGGTCAATACTGAATTCAGACCAACAGTGAATTCCTCTTTGCTGCAGCCCTTAAAATATTTGAATGTTGTCATGTTTCTCTCCAAATCCCTCTTTCTCAGGGTGAGGAAGGAAATCTTTTATCTTGAATTTTCATCTCCCCAAGGCCAGTGTTCCCAGGTCAGCATGCTGCTAATGTGTATACACATGCATATGTGTGAATGGGAATCAAACATACAGGACAATCAATAGGAAGGGAAGTGGGGAAAAGAGTGATCTCAGAAAGAAGAATGAGTAGAAATGAAATGTAAAAAGTTTGACCTAAAAACAAAGGACTACCTGGGAATGAGGAAATAAAGAAATCAGTAGGAAGGAGAAAGAGAAAATGTCTTACAAAAAAAAGAGGTGTAAAGAGCTTGACTTGTTTAACATAGCAAAATGAAGATTAAAAGAGGATGTGATTCCCATTTACAAATACATTGGACTAGAGCTGTTTAAGCTAAAGGGTGATTTTTGTACACCAGGAAATGGGTATAAACTGGCTGCATATACCCAGCTACAAATTAGAAGGTTTCTAGCTGTCACAAGACTGAGGCCCTTGAAGACTCTACTAACAAAAGCAGCATATTTTAAAGGGACTTTAATGAATTCAGGATACTGGACTGGAGTCCATGACTCAGACAATTGACTTCTGCAATTCTCAGCCCTATTTTTAATAAAGTGGTTGAGGACAAAGCGGAACACAGGGGAAGAGCTAAGATATATCATATAAACCTTAAACAGCGTAAAACAGTTCTGGATTTCAGAACGGTGGTTCTGTTGGACTGCACAGGTTACGCAGGAAAGTAGAATGCAAATCCCCAGCTTTATATTGTAGACATGTTGCACAAGACATCATGTCACTTGGAGGAATTTTGCACCAGTCTGCCAGCCCCTAGCCATGTTCTCAACCAGCCCACATAATCCCACTTCACACTCACTGAGCAGCTCCCTTAAGGCACCTTCACCTGAGGAAAAGGGTAAGGTTCATGTACTGATAGGGATCTCCTTACCTTATTTATTTGGAAATAACAATGCTATAAATTAATCTTTGTTATGCACTCACTGGGATCATTAGCTATGAGCTTTGAGAGCCGGGTACATTAGAATTCTGGAGACTTTTAGACTAATTGTAAATTCAATTTAGTTTTTAAATCAGTAGCTGCAACTGCTTTCTAGACCCCTTTCCACATGGAGGTGTCTTTGCAAAGAACTCTTTCTTAGCTTAAATTTATTTCAAGAGGTAGATTATTTGGCTTCCTGAAATAGATTCAGACATGGAGTAAAAACTGTGTACTTATCATTTACTGTCAAGGCTGACCAGCTGCAATACTTTGTAAGGTAATTACTCTTTAATTCATGATATAACTTCTCCAGGGAATATCAGAAATATTTATTGCAACATTGGCTTCCACAAAATCCAGAGTAAGAGATATCAAATTATACTTTTTATTGGTGCAGATTGGATGTTGAAATGCACATGAACTCTAACCTACCACGTTCTCTTTTAAGATTCCTATACGAGAAAATGAGGAAACAATTGCACTCCGTTACTCATACTAGCAACTTTTGCTCTGAGAGCACTGAAGTTAATTCTGAAAACTTAGTGGCATGTAAATCCCTTCTCTCTGAAAACAGCCTTTGCAGTAGTTCACACTGGATTTGTGGAGTAACTTAAAACTGGGCTCGCTAGCTGGACAGGAGACAACAATGTGCACTTGCAGCCCAGAAGGCCAACCATATCCTGGGCTGCATCAAAAGAAGGGTGGCCAGCAGGTTGAGGGAGATGATTCTGCCCCTCTACTCTGCTCTGGTGAGACCCCACCTGCAGTACTGCGTCCAGCTCTGAGCCCTCAGAGGGAGATGATTCTGCCCCTCTACTCTGCTCTGGTGAGACCCCACCTGCAGTACTGCGTCCAGCTCTGGAGCCCTCAGCACAGGAAGGACATGGACCTGTTGAAACGGGTCCAGAGGAGGCCCACAAAAATGACCAGAGGGCTGGAACACCTCTCCTATGAGGAAAGGCTGAAAGAGCTGGGGTGGTTCAGCCTGGAGAAGAGAAGGCTGCGGGGAGACCTTGTTTCAGCCTGTCAATACTTAAAGGGGGCCTACAAGAAAGATGGGGATAGTCTTTTTAGCAAGGCCTGCTGCGACAGGACAAGGGGTAATGACTTTAAACTAAAGGAGGGCAGATTTAGACTGAAAACTAGGAAAAAGTTTTTCACAATGAGGGTGGTGAAACACTAGAACAGGTTGCCCAGAGATGTGGTAGATGCCCCATCCCTGGAAACATTCAAGGTCGGGTTCGACGGGACTCTGAGCAACCTGATCTAGTTGATGTCCCTGCTCATTGCAGGGGGTTGGACTAGATGACCTTTAAAGGTCCCTTCCAACCCAAACTATTCCATCTATGATTCTATGTGATCTGTGTTTCAGAGTACTTTGCAAGTTCATTTCAGTGATCATATCAGACTACGTATTTCCATCCACACTATGAGAAAGACACTGTCTCAGATATCTGTTTTGATTCGCGATCCTAATATTCATGCTGGTACAGTATTATCTGTCACTGATTTGAACAAACTCTCTCAAGAGAAATAACCCGTTACAAGCATACATGAAAATATAAAAGCGTCTGATGAGCACTACAATTTCTGTTATGAAGACCTGGATATTTATTGAATAAGTAATATAATTTCAATAATTCAAACCACATATTAGAACTATTCCAGTCAACTATGATCCCATTTATTTTTATAATATAATGGAAAAGAAAGATTCCTGTTCACAGCCCCTGGTGCCTCCAACATCTACTTGACTTTCTAGCAGCCCAGATGAGTTTGTGTCAAACAAACAAAATATCAACACTCATCATGCAATATTAACTGAAAGTTCAAGATGCACAGTGCAATACAGCTAGAGATAGCAGATCAGCCTTGCTATGAACCCGCTTGAGTAGCTCGGTATTGTCAAACCATATAACTAAGCATTTACTACTCCAAGTGCAGCTGAACTGTCTTCATAGTCTACAGTTGATTATCCTGAGATATTGTGTGAAGAAGCCATAGTATCACCTAGACAGTACTGCCTTTGGTCTTCAGGAGCTGAAGTGAGAGTGCAGGCAGAGAGCCAACAGCAGGACAATGTGTGAGTGAGCTACACAGCAGGAGGTAGGAGAATGTGAGAGGAAAACACAGAGCTCCTCACAGGCGGCAAAATCCACGCCTTGCAGTGCACTCTGGGTCTTGCATAGGCTCTGGATCTGCAGGGGGTAATCCATACAGCCTGTTAAGCAGAGTTTCTCTAGTCAGTTTTCCCTCTGTGTGTATTTTTCTCTTAAAAAGGAATAATCTTTTGTTTCATTGCCTTTCTGTGCATAAAAAATGCTTTCTAAGAACTGTTCTTCCAAAATGAATCTCAAATTGTTTTAAGGAGTTTGTTTGAGGACACTTCCTACTAATGGAAAAGAGTCACTTTCTGTGAAAGAAGGCTCTCTGAAGGTATTTAAATTTCCAAACAGCTTCTTACCCCACAATACTGCTCCTCATTGAAGATCTGTGGAGGGAGGGGAATTCCATTTTGAGGCTTTTTTTCACCTGGGACATTCTCTCTCATCCACTTCCTGTTGTCTTCATCACCTGCTATGTCCATTTGCTGAAAGTCAATCTTGTTGGCCTCTAAAAAGCCCACTACTTCTTGCTGTTTCTTTTTGATCTGGTTAGAAAAGAGGAAAAACAAAATTCCTTCTTTAGAAAGAAAATTCTTTTCTAAAAGCAATTGCTATTACAAGCAGAACTAATGCAAGTACATCAAGTTGGATCCACTACTCCAGTAGCCCCCAAACTTTTTGAAGCTGATATTCAATACTGCTTCTCAGCACCCAGACTACTGCAAGTATTTCT